TAAGATTTTTCTGTATCAGTCTAATTGATTATAATAATAATAATCTACCGGTGCTTATCGGTCTACTTGATTTTACACATTTACTTGATCAAACTAATCTACTAGCTATTACTATTACCTTGATACTATTATTATTTTACTTATCAATGCTAGTTGTATTATATCAGGATTTGATGGGACAAACATCCTGGCGCTTATGGCGTTTTTGCTTAACTATCAAATCGGATAGCTACAAATATCCATTGGTTGAATTGCGCAATCTATACAAAATTATCATGGACATATTTATATTGACAATAAAACCCATCCAATATATTTATGTTAGCTTATTTACCATGATACATTTACTATTAACCTGCTATATGCTATCGATTACAAATTGGTATACTACTACTACTACTACTACTACTACTTATAATTGGCCAAGTGTTATTATTATTTTTATTTTATGGAACCTGGTAACCCTACTAAGTATCTGGCATCTACTTGCCATGGGCATTTATCTAAATTATCTAGCATTTTTAACATGGTTATTTATACTATTAAAATTTATTGAATCTAATCGCAAGTTTCGCTACGTTTACCAAAACAAACTACTAATTAATTTTAATAATAATTGTAATAATAATAATAATAATAATTCTAATAATAATTCTAATAATAATAATAATAATAATAATGATTGTAATAATAATAATAATTGTAATAATTGTAATAATTGTAATAATTGTAATAATAATAATTGTAATAATTGTAATAATAATAATAATAATAATAATAATAATTGTAATAATAATTGTAATAATAATTGTAATAATAATAATAACTATAATCGACAATTGGTACTGGCTATACATGAACATCAATATATATCGATGACATCTAGCTGGCTGAATCAATATTTTTCTAGCCTGGTACTATTACTATTGTATCTATGGTCGATAAACGTAATGCTAGCCCTGTACAGTCTAAACAACTATAGTAATCAATTATCATCATCATCGGGTACTACATTGCTAGCCTACTATAATAGGATAGTAATGATTTTATGGGTCGGACTAAATATTTTAGTTTTCCTTGGTGGTTGTCTATTGATAACCTATCTAGGTAATTTAGCTCATCGACCCATAAAACTAATGTACAGTTTAATGGCCAGGGATGGTATAAATAGTAGTAGTGGGAGGAGGAGTAGTAGTAGTAGTAGTAGTAGGATAAGGCTCAGGGATCGGCTACTTGTCATGAATTTTATTGAACGTCTAAACAGTCCACCGATTGGTTTATATTGTGGTGATCTCTATTATTTAGATTCATTGGCTGCCCTACAATATATATTTTATTTATATAATGTCTATATGTTGTTGAGAAAATTATTTTAGTTGAAAAAACAATAAAAAATATAACATAAATAATATAAAATAAAATAAAAAAGTTTTATTGAATTATAATTGAAATTATATACCATTATATATTTACTTAAACTTTTTTTTAAAAAAAATTATTTTAGTTTATTAAATAGTAATTGAAATAATATTTTAAAAATTTAATTAATTAATTTACTTGAAATAATAATAATAATAATAATAAATAAATTTAAGCTTATTTTAAAAACTATTATATTTTCCTTTTTTATTTATTTTTTAATAATTATTTTTGTTTATTATATAGAACTTGAAATATTTTTTTTAATTTATTATAATTAATTTACTTGAAATAATTTTATATATATTGAATATTTAAAATAAAAATTTATGTGAAAAATATTATATTTAAAAAAATATATTAAAAAGCACCTTTTAAAAACTATTATATTTACTATTATATATATATATAATATATAAATATAAATAATCTTGTTGAAATTAATTTAAAAACATATTATGCAAAAAATAAATAAATAAATAATTATTAATTTTACTTTTAGCTAAAAAAAAATTCTACATGGTAAAAGTTAAAATGAATGTAAAAATTTTAGACTATTATTATTATTATTATTTTTATCATTGTGCCATGGTAGATTATTATTATTATTTGCATCAACTAGCATATATCTAACTGGGCGTGGCCTATACCAGGACCTGATGGCCAGATAGGCCAGTGCACCGGTACCTATCAGTGCTGATACAATAGCAGTACATTTAGCTAAACGATTGTCATTACTAAAACTACTAGTACTACTACCTGTCCTTATCATTGGACTACCAGTTATTGTTGATGTCGATATGATAATACCAGTGCCCGCTATGGCCAATGTTAGCCCAGTTACCAGTGTTTCGTGTTGACACTGGCGCCGGTATAGCCGATCAAATAGTTTTCCAGTTTCTTGATTCAGTTTACGTAGAAAACAGTCCCTGAATTTGTTTAGCCGTTGTTGTTGGTGTTGGTGTTGTTGGTGTTGTTGGTGTTGGTGTTGTTGGTGTTGATCACTACCGGCCTCACTGTCGGCAGTCAACAGCAGCTGGTCGTACAGTTGGCCATAGACTCGGTTATCGCTGGCAATCAGTTTGTTGCTACCTATCATCCATAACCACCTGTGCTGCCAATGCTGATGATTGTGATGGTAGTGGTAGTAGTCTTGCCATAGTAGCTGTTCATAGCTATCGACCGACTGTCTAATCAATAGGACGTTCCTCTCGTATAGTCGCCGGTAGTCGTTGATATGGTCGACAAGTATTTGACGAAAATCGTGACGAAATATACGTAAAGTTTTATCGGTAGTACCGCTACCTCTAACACCTCCCTGTCCTCCACCATAGTTGTCATCATTAGCAGCAAACTGGCCGCCGGCGGAGCCATAAATATCCAATTTAATCGACGCATACCTGGCCTCCAGTGCTAAACTATCGGTATAGTCTATATCATCGGTGTTGTGTCATCATAATCATCGGACACATGTAGTAAATCWATGAAACTATTAACTGCTTTCATCAATAATTTTTTATAACGTATACTATAGTCGACAAACTGATCAAACTCCCTGTCCAATCTCGACTGTAGTTCCCTACGATAACTGGGATCACGATTATCYGAAAACCATTGSCCRTATTGCCGGAGACTTAGTTCAACTTGTTTTTTATGCCAATATCTCARATCYGATTCAACACGTATTTGATCCGTTAAATAGTAATTAAAATAGGTTTTCATTATTGATTCATATGAGGCAACTATTAGATCAAAATTTTGWAGACTTGCTAGATATGGRTCATCTATGAGATTACTGTCCTCCAGGTCCTCATCATCGCTAGGATAGGCACTGGTATAGGCACTGGTATGMGGTATACGRCCRGYACTATAGCCTACGCCCATACCTTTTGTCAGATCATAGGGTATATGATTGACAATAATTGTATTGTTTTCAAGTATAATATCACTCATGATTTTTTTGAAGACAAAATAATTAATTAATTTTTTTAATTATTTTTAATAATTAATATTATTTATAAATTTTTTTCAATATAATAAATATGTTAATAAATAATATAAAACAATAATAATAATTATTATTAATTAATGAATATAATAATTAATTTTTTTTATTAAATAAATATTAATTAATTATTATTAATAATAATAAAAACACAAATCAATGAATATTAATAATAATAATAAACATAAAAATATGTTTTAATTAAAAAAAAKTATTATTTAGTAATAGAAAAARTTCTAAACATTAAAAAAACTGTTTGCATATAAAATACAATACACAATAAAAAAAATATTTTTAATCAAAATATATATATATATYAATAATATCTATAATAATATTTTTTGTTGTTATCATTGTTAGATAAGTACTGTACATGAATATACTGTATAATAAAATTATTATTATTAGTAGTAGTATAACGTTTAAAGTGATTTTGTTTAGGTTTTACTGATAACACACACATAATGTTGCTATTAATAAAACTTGCTTAACATTGCATTTAATMTATATATATATATAGTTTACTATTATTACAGTATAATATATATATATATATATCATCAAAAACATGTTATAATAACACCATTTAGTGCTACACACAGTCGCAAACACACACACACACACACTACACATAGTTACTAATATTATATATATATATATACTAAACTAATATAATATAAATAGCAAAAATTTTACAATAACTTTAACTTAAACTATGTTAACAATATTGYTAAATTTATTGTTAAAATAATAATATTATTATTTATATTTTTTAAAATTTATAATTAATATATTTTTTAAAAAAAATGTATTTTTGTTTCATAAAAATAAATTGCTAAAATATTTTTTARKAAATATCTATAATATTATATATATATATTATATACTTTTAGTAATTATTATGTTAACTCTCATAAACTAATATACAATATGACATCTATTGACTAATATAATACTCAATCATATTCAATAGTTATTATATAATTTATAATTTATTTATTTATTTAATTGAAAAAGTTATAAATAAAATCAATGTTAAAACATTTAATACTAGTGTATACTGTATATACTGTACTGTACAGTAAGTTATTTTTATTATTTTATTTTTACTACTACTGTAACTAAAAGTGATTATTAATAATATAAATTAATGTGAAAATTTTTTGTTTATCAATTAAATAAAATTTTTATATTAGCTGATAACGTATTTTTTTAATAAAAAAAACTAAATATTTAAAAATGACAATAAAATATCTAACAATAATTTTGTATCAACAAAAATATTGATAAAATAATATTTCTACTAATAATAATAAGTTATATATATATTTATTTATTTAGAGAGAGAGAGAGAGAGAGAGAGAGAGAGAGAGAGAGAGAGAGAGAGAGAGAGAGAGAGAGAGAGAGAGAGAATTAGTTAAATAAATAAATATATTTTTTCAACAAAAAAAATTAATTAATTTTATTTTTTTATTACACATTTTAATTTTAATTATTACATATTTATTACAATTATAGATATATCATATGATATGATATACCTTATTATAAACTTGTATATAAAAATTGTATTTAATATACAAAAAAAAATTATTACATGTATGTACCTTATGGTACGGTATATATAACTAACTATTATCTACTGTATACTAGTCATCATAATCATCGGCTAACTTGGGAAAGGTAGGCGAGGTAAGTACACCGCAATTATTATCACGTTGGCTAATCAATACATAGCCGTCGTTACCCCAGTAGGTTGACCACGAATTTTTGATTAGCCAATACTTTTCGCCCCTAAGCTGGCCATAACCGACGGCCAGTACCTGATGATCGAGGTTTTCCGGTTTATTACCGCACTGGGGCTCATAGTAGACACCACTGGAGTAGAAGGACAGGGATTTATGTGAGGCATCTATGGCTACAGTTACCGGTCCTTCGTAGTAGAGGGCCGTACGCAACGCTTGGGGATCGCCAGGTGTTACATTATAAAACCCGGATAAACGGACCGCTAGTTTGCCAACCAATTGCTTATCGTGACACTTGCCGTCGGCTCCCAGATACTGGCCATATTGATCACTAGTGGCCAGTCCACCCGATTTCTGGATATAATCGTAGGCCCGAAAATCTTCGCCACCATCGCAACCGTTGTTCAACTGATTCCACGAACAGTCGACCAATTGTTGTTCAGATAGTTTCAGGAGACGACCAGTTCGGGCAAATAGTACACCTTCGATAGTACCCACTGTACCGAATGACCAACAACTACCGCAAACGGCCTGATCTTTAACTGGTGTTACACCGCCAGCCAATCGCCAGTCCCATTGATCGGGTATGTCGTCGTCATCAGCATTCATGTTGTTGGCGGACCGGGAGGACAGGTATCGGTTTTTATCGAATTCAAGACCACCGTTATAGTGGACACCCGAATACAGGCGGCCACGCCTGAAACGTGAGGCCAGTTCCTGGTCGGTCATATCGGCTAAATGATTGACTGCCAGCCGATAGCTATTGCGAGAATTTTGCCGATTTTTTCCAAAAATATATCTCAGATTTTGCCGAAATACGTGCTTACGTTGCCGATGGTCAGTCGTATTCGGATAGCTAACCGCGTGTTTAGCCTGAAACTGGTCAAACTCCTGATCGGTATGACCTTCCTGGCCATGTGTAAACTCACTTATAGGATTATGATGACCCCGATGTTCCAGACCAGGGCCGGGGAACCCGCGACACGATATATTTTCGGGTACATTGAATATACCTGAATCCATGGGTCCGATCCGGTAGTTTTTATATTGGATTTCATATTTATCGTAATGTGAACCCAATAGTGAATCGTAGCCCATCATCTCGTAGTGGACAGGTATGGGTTGTTGTTGTTGACCACCGGGTGATGACATAGTCGAGTCATATCTGACTAGAAATACATATTTATTGACTTTCTGGTCGACGGTTACTATCGATTGCCAGCGATCGCACAGTTGACTGTCCCTACCAGTGCCTACTATACGATTGGTTATTAGCTGAGCACAGGGAACCCCACGATCAGTCCGCTGGAAACCTTGGAGATCAGGTATAACCGATTGGGCACTGACCGGTTGCTCCTGGGTACCGTTAACCTGGAAACATACACGTTGGGGATCACCCTGGCGGTCGACCATCCAGGCTATCTTATAGGATATACCACCGTCGGGTAGTCGGCCACTATCACCAGCTCGTTGTATGGTCTGCTCTAAGTCGCCGTAATAGTCTACTCGGCTTCTGTTGTTCGGGCCGTCATAGTAGCCGACAAACGGTTCGGTGATTTCCGCATACGGTAGCGATAGGACACCCTCGACATAGTACTGGTCGCTGAAAACAGGCGGTGTCGGTGGTGTTGGTGTCGGMTGACTACCAGTGCTGCTAGCTGTTGATCCATTGACGGTCACCCCCACCAACACAATAGCCAATAATACACAACAACTAGTGTCTAATAGTTTTAATTGTTGAAAACTTTTCATTATTATTACTAATAAATATTTTGTTTTGTTTTTTCAATTAATTATTAATTAAATTTATTATACATATACTGTATTATTAAAATATTAGTTAACAATACAATAATATTTAGTTAAACATTATTATTAAATCTTATTATTATTATTATTATTAATATTAATTATTATCTTAATATTATTAAGTGAAATACCATTAAAGGTTAAGTATTTGTGTGTGTAATGAAAACTAATTAGTAATTTTCAATAATAATAATTGATTATTATTTACTAAAGTTTTATACTGTATATTCAATATTGATATTAATATTGAATATATATTTTTTTTGTGATAAAATAATTTCAAATAATTGTAAACACATTTTGTGTTGTTTAGCTGATAATAACATTTTTTTTATCKTATTTAATGATGATTATTGAACTTTTATTTTAACTTACTAAATAAGGTATATATATACAGTTTAAATATTGATATAAATTGTCATATATTGATAAAATAAAAATAAAATCATATGACTATATGTTATATAAATAATAAAAATGTCAATCAATTTATGATTAATCAATTTAATCAATTATATTTATAAATGTAAAATTTTAATACAGTAGTACATTAGTTTATTTATACTGTATAAAAAATAGTTTTTGATATAAAATATTTTAATGTAAAATAGAAAAATAAATCATTACATTATAATTAATTTTGCTTTTTAATAATTAAAAAAAATTATGTCATTTATTTATATACATTTTTTAACTACAAATAAAAAATAAATATCAATCATTTAGTTTTTTAAAAATAAAATCTGTATAATTTTTTGTTATTGCTATTATCATTACAATATTATTTACATTATATAATATGATAAAATTTTTTAAAAAAAAATTATATACACTACAACATATAGAGGATAATATTAATTTTATTATACTTGATTTACAATAAACAAAACAATCAAAAATGTTAAAAGTTTAAAACAAAAAAATTTAAAAAAAAAATTTTATGGTAAACAAAACTTAACTAGGATATTTTTAAAAATTTTAGTTTTTAACTTGACGAATCAATAATTGTTAGAAAATCTTGCATGATACTATCATTTGATATAGCTACACAATTATCTGTATTTAAGCTAGCTAAATTATCATTATTAATATTACTATTATTATTATTATTACTATTATTATTACTATTATTACTATTACTATTATTATTACTATTATTATTACTATTATTACTATTACTATTATTATTACTATTATTACTACTATTATTACTACTATTATTACTACTATTACTATTACTATTACTATTATTATTATTACTATAATTATTATTATTATTATTACAACTATTACTATCAATATTAAATTTTGTACCTGCTCGTATACTAGCAACTAAATTAGTTGTATTATTATAATTATTATTCTGGGTACTATTAATTTTCCAATTTAACAATCGCATTGTTTCCCGTAAAACCTATCCTCCAATCTATAGGTGCCAACCATCAATGGCTCCGGTATCATCTGGGTAAATTGATTATACAGTTGACTATAGATTTCCTGGCTAATAGTTAACAACAGGGAATTCGGATTAAACAAACGTTTTATCAAGTTTGTTTGTTGAAATTTTTCATCTAATTTAGCATGATACTTTTTAACAAATTTTTCTAATTGATGTTGACATTGTTGTAGATTTTCATAGAAATTGTACATGCTAGTTTTTAGTTGCTGATCAATGTTTAAATTAAATATATTATTATTATTATTATCTAGCTTAATTGAATTGACTAGTTGATTATATTTTTGTTCTAGTTGATTATTATTATTATTATTATTATTATTATTATCACTATCATTATTATTAATATTTTTATAATCACTAATAGTACTGTCATGATAACATTTAACTAGATCAGTTTTATAATCAATTAGTTGCGCAACAATTTCATCAAGTACATATTTTTCAAACACATTAAACATATCAGATAATTGTTTAATTAAAATTATTTTAAATTGATCACGTACAATTTTAAAACCATCAATATCATTTAGATTTATAACATTCAACAATTCAGCATTATCATATTGAATGTTACACATATTCAATAATCTAGTACATAATACGTTCAATTGATCTCGTGATAGATTGTTCATGGTAAATTCACATTGAATTAATCGTGTAAATTCAAATATATAGGTTTGTATGGGAAAATAAATATTGCCAACAATACTGTCCAGGGTACTAAATAAATTAATACCATAAATTACGCACATTTCATCATCATCATTATTATCAATGTGCGTATTATTATTATTATTATTTAAAATTTTCATTGTACCTTGAACAATTAGTGTACGAAAATAGTTAAATCGTTCATTGTATGTACTAATAAATGTTTCCAATGGATACGTATCGTCGATTAGATTTAATTTTAAAATCAACTGTTCAATAGTTTTTAAAAAATTATCAAATTCACCAAGAACCATTTGCCAAATTTCTATTAGATTATTAAAATTATTATTATTATTACTATTAATAGTATCTAGGTTATTTATTTTAATACATTGTCGACATTCGCGATTAAAATCATCTAGATTAATTTGATGAAACAAATATTTAGCTAGAACATTTTGCATATTCGAATAAAATATTTCCATATTAATACGCTCATTGGATTCTATATGGGATGCAATTGAGCTAGTTGATATTGTACGTGATCTAGGTAGATTATTATTATTTAAATAATTAACATGTAAAAATCCATTATCATTATTATCACGATCATCATCATTGACGTTAACAATTAGAAAATTATCTTGGTCATCATTGTCTAAATTAATTAACTTGTTTAGTTGATTAATTTTTTCAGCATCATCAACTTGATCACAATTAGCTAATAATTTTGTTTGAATATAATATTTATACATGCGTACAATATAATTTGTAGCATTATCATCATAATGATTATTATCTAGGTTAGTTGATCTATGTATTTTCAATTTGTCCATACTCATTGATAATAATTGTTTCGATGATAATTGCCATTCATCCATTGTATCCAATAGCTGGGAGCACCTGGGTCGTTTTTGATGTATACCATTAGTCATTTCACCCACATACTCGTGCAATAGTTTTATCATGTTAACAATGTCATCATCAACATTAGTAGCATTATCAACATCATCATCATGACCATGATCTGTATTAATTGTACTTGAAAAAATAAAAATAAAATTATTAGAATTAATTAATATATTAATAATAATATTTCTATTTTTCGTTAGTTAAATTATGTTTATATTAATAAAAACAAAAATGTTTAAATAACTAATTTTGTAAAATTAAAAATTAAAAAATAAACTAGCTAGCTAGATAAATTTATTCAATTTACTAATTAGATTATAGATAGTTATATAATACTAGTAAACAAAAATAATATTTTTTTTATAATAAAAATATTTTTATAAATCTATAACTTGTTATACTTATTGACAACAACAACAACAACAAATGTGTAAAATAATTAAAGTTAAAAAAATTAATAAAAAAATTTAAAAAAAAAACTTACTCATCTAGATAAAATAAATTTGTAGCTATAATCCCTAGACTATAGACATCGCTTTCCGTATAGTATTTACCGCTAAAACATTCCGGTGCTATATAACCCAGTGTACCGGCACCTACAGTCAGTGTAGGTGTTTCCGTATTACTAGTTCTACCGGTTGTACCGGTGCCGCCGCCAGGACTACCGGCATTTTGTTTGATAACAGCCAGTCCAAAGTCGCCAATCTTGCACTGTATGCCACCGGCACCGGTATCACTGGTATGGGTATCACTAGTGACACCCATAGTAGTAGTAGTATCGGCAGCGGCGCCGATACCAAACAATATGTTTGCCGGTTTCAGGTCACGATGAATGACCGGCGGCTTCAATCCATGCAAATAGTCTAGTCCTTGAAGTAATTGGCCAAATATTACCGTCGATATTAGATAATCAATAGGATGTCTACTACTACTACTACTACTACGGCCACTGCTAGCACTAGTAGTAGGTGTGTCCACTAGATTACTGTACGTATCAAATACAAGGGACTTGGCTTTTATGATATCCCTGAGATTATAGGGACAGTATTCCATTTGTATATAGATACAGGTGCCATTGTTTTCTATCCATGTATTGAAACAGTTGACTACCCATGGACTGTCCAACGATCGTATAGTTTTGACCTCTTTGAGTGCCCGTTCCTTAAAGTTGTCTAAAAACACCATTGCCATTGAAATTAATATAAATAGATTATAATGTATAGTTTAGGTTAGGTTTTTAGTGGGGTTAGGGAGTTAGTTATGGGGAGTTAGTTTGTTAGGGGAGTTAGTTATGGGGAGTTAGTTTGTTAGGGGAGTTAGTTATGGGGAGTTAGTTTGTTAGGGGAGTTAGTTATGGGGAGTTAGTTATGGGGAGTTAGTTATGGGGAGTTAGTTATGGGGAGTTAGTTATGGGGAGTTAGTTTGTTAGGGGAGTTAGTTATGGGGAGTTAGTTATGGGGAGTTAGTTATGGGGAGTTAGTTATGGGGAGTTAGTTAGGGTGAGTTAGTTAGGGTGAGTTAGTTATGGGGAGTTAGTTATAGGGAGTTAGTTATGGGGAGTTAGTTATGGGGAGTTAGTTAGGGKGAGTTAGTTATGGGGAGTTAGTTATGGGGAGTTAGGGYCTTACCATTGATGATGACTTTTTTGATGGCATAAACACGATAGCTATACCGTTCCCTGACTTTATAGACTGTACCGAAACCACCGGTGTTGCCATCGTTTAGTATATCGAAATTGTCGGCAAATATTGACGACATGTTTGAAGTAATTTATTTCAAAAAAATTATTTCAATAATTAATTAATTAATTATTACTAATAATTGTAATACAATAATATTATACACACATAACTTTAAGACAACTAATAGTAATTATTTATATATTTATATATATATATATATTATTTAATAATAAAATTATTATTATTTTTTTAAACAATAAGTTAATTCAATATTAAGTTAAGTCAATTCAATTGTAGAAATCAATCATAAATATTATTTATACAATTAATATAAATAAATTTTTATTTATTTTTTTCACTTTTATAGTAATTAATAGTTTTTTTTAAAAAAATTGCTATTAATTTGTTGCAATCAAATCTCAACAGTCAGTCAATCAGTCAGTCATAGGTTTTTATGACTTGTATTACTAATTATATTGTTATCTAAAAGTTTTATTATTTTTTTTGTTGATAAATCAAATAACAAATATAAGTGATAAAACTTAATAACTTAAAAACAAATAATTACTATTATTTTTTTTTGTATTGTTAATAACGTCATTACTTTAGATTTTTTTTTACAAAAAAATAGTTAATTATAAACAAAATACATTATAATTAATAAAAAAAAATATTTTTAGTATTGTTATCATTAATATTGTGATTTAATTGCAATATGATTCACATTATTAATATTATTATTATTATTRTTATTATTGCTAGCTTATTGCATGATGAGTCAATTAAAAACAAAAATTAAATAATTAGTAAAAAATATTTTATTTATAAAAAAGGTTATATATATATATATATATATATATATATATATATATATATATATATATATATTATGTTTTAAKTTATTATTATAATAAACTAATTTTATAATAATTTACTTTTAAAAATAAATTATTATAATTTAAATCAATTTAGTGTTTTTTTTTAGTAGTGTTTTGTGTGTAATTTTGTCAAAAAAAATTATTATTATTATTATATAAACTACATTTAATATTAAAATTTATTTAATTAATTATTTATTTATTTATACAGTATTTTTTTTTTAATATCTATCGTCTATTTCCTCAAAAAAATTTTCGACAACTGTTTTAAATTGATTTGCATAAGTAATGTGCAGATTATGCGATCCGTTTGGGAAACGGTAGAGTCGGGCGTCCGATGCCTTTTCGGTCACAAATATCGGGTGCTCTAACTCGACCAACGGGTCCTTTAAAAATAATAATATATTTAATTTAATTTTCTAATAAAATCAAATCAAAACTAACAAACAAACAAAAAAGTTGTAATTATTAATATAGTTGATTTATTAATATATATATATATATATATTATTTTTATATAATGTTATATACAATATATATAACTTATAACTGCTGTATAAATATAAATGTAATATTAGTATTATTTTTTAAATGTTAGTTATTTTTGATAATATTAATAATATTAATAATAATATAAAACTACTRTAAATACTTATATATACTAATATATATTTATAAAGATAATGATTAGCTATAATATATATATTATTTTAAATATTTAATTATATATAAAAATACTGTACTGTATATACATACTTATTATCATTTTTACTAAAAAATATATATATTTTTTGGAAAACACAAWCATGTATACAATATATATAATATATATAATGTACAGTATTTTTTAAATAATTAAAATATTTTATAACACTAATACATAGCTAATCATTATCATTATATTTTTTATATATTATAATTATTATATATATATATATACATATATATACCTTATCTCCATGTAATACAAATACAGGGCACCGGACTTTTTCGATGACATCAATCAGCGACCAATTGGGAAACAATTGGGTACTCATTTCAATGAACTCAGTATGTCTGGCCCATAGGTCTGACCATTCAGACCCATAGACTTGCTTGTAGTTGTCGACCATATCGGGCCCCCAGAATTGTATGCTTTTCAATATGGACAGTCGGGACAGGTTTTTACGGGTAGCATAGGCTACACAACCCCAGACAACACAACTGCTTATACGTGACTGGTATTGGGAGGCCATTAGTAGTGCTGTTTTTGAACCGTCCGACCAACCCATCACCGAATAGGTTGAATAGCCTAATGCCTAATATATAAAGTTATATATATATATAGCATATAAATAATAATAAATAGCATGTATAAGTGTAAGTATATTACATATATTTAGTATATTACATATATATAGTACATTACATATACAGCATTATGCAAAAAAAAATTTAATATTTTATCAATTTATTATCAAACTGCTGTATATAGTATATTACATATATAATATTACATATATATATAATATTACATATATATATATAATATTACATATATATATATAATATTACATATATATATATAATATTACATATATATATATAATATTACATATATATATATAATATTACATATATATATATAATAGACTGACCACCCAATTTATTAGTAAACCTGTATAATAGTATAAAATTATTATTTTCACCTGTATTTTCCTGTATATTAAATATTATATTCCTGTATGCTAACCTGTACTTAAATAACTATATATTCGTATATATTTATAATACTATAAAATAAATTTAATTTAGATACTATAATTATATAAAAAGTTGAAATTATTTTATATTGATCATGAATAATTTTACAAATATTTATATATATATATTTGAAATATTTAAATATATATTAAAAATACAAGCAATTTTTTACTAACAAAACTTAATTCATAGTTATTTTATACTTTTATTAATCAATTAGTTTTACATATTTTAAAACTGTATATTTTATTATACAGGTTAGCCCTTTCCTGTCACCTGTATTAGACCCTTGATTCCTGTATAATACAGGCGGCACCTGTATGGGTGGTCAGTCTAATATATAATATTACATATATATATATAATATTACATATATATATATAATATTACATATAATTTATTAATTTATACTTTTAATAATTATAATTTTTATTACTTTTAATTTAATTAATACTAAATTTATAAAAATTAAATAAAATTAAATATCAATCTACCTAATTAATTTTATCTATAAATATATATATATATATATATATATAGTTTATATACAGTATTATAATTTGCATATATATTTTGTTTATTATTTTTATCTATTAATTGTTATACAATTAATAATTAATATACAGTATATATATACAGTATTTATAATATTATTTATTAATTGCATAATAATTGCATAGATAATAGTATTAAATTAATAACAAACTATAATATATTTTTATGTATATTTTATAAAATAAAAATTAAATATCAATATATTTAATTTATTTATTTTATAAATTTAATATTAATCATTTTGATATATTTATTTGCTATATCCATACCTCCATAATTTTATGGCCACAATAAGCATCGTTATCAAATATATTGTTATCATATTTGCGTACGGGTGGCCTGGATCGACCCCAGCCCTGTGGTTCAATTGCTACCAGTGTATACCTGTCCTGGTCTAATGCATGATCGCCTACTAACTGCGGTCCATAGTCGGACCTACCGGTGCCTGGAAAATAAATAAATTGAATTTTATGATTTAATTAATTAATTAAATTAATTAATTGATATATACCAATGGCTCCGGGAAATAATAGTATAGCGTGTCTACCGGTGCCAAACTTTTCATACCAAACCTGATTGCCATCAATAGTAACTGAGCCGCTTGTCATAATTATTATAACTAGATTTTACAAAAATTATTATTATTTTTTAATTGTAAAAATAATTAAAATATTAATTAATTAATTAATCAAATTTGTATTATTTTTTATTGTAAAATATTTCATTTAATTAATTTACACTAAAAACACAATAAATAAGTTATAATATATATTTATTAATTATAATAATAGTTATACTAATAAAAATATTTTAATATATTGTCTTAAATAAATATATATAAATATATTTATTATTGTAATAAACACTACTGTTTATGTCTAAATCTAGTAATATAATAACAGTATTATTATTAATAATATTATTATAATTATTATTATAGATTCAAAGATATATTTTTAAAAAATTTTATAATAAAAATAAATATTTAACTAACAAACAAAAATTAAAAATAAATATATTCTGAATAGTTATATAATTTTTTCAGGAAAAAATCTAATAATAAAATATTTATATAATTATTATTAAATTGTTAGAAAATAAATAAATAAATAAATAATAATAATATAAATTATTTATTTTTTTATAAAAACTGTTTATTTATTTTTAATTTTATTTATATAAATCTCTATAATTGGAAAAACCATAATTACATAATACTCTCACTATATATATAAATGATAAACTATTAAGTAATAATAAATATTTTTATTTTGTTTTTTAAAAATTTTTGATAACTTATTTTCCAAATATAAAATTATATATGCTATTTTTAAAATAGACATACACATTAATAGTATACTAATCATATAAATAAAATTTCTAAAAATGCAAATTAAATTTATTTAAACTTTAAATAATATTTAAAAAATATGTTTTTTATAATTAACTGTTTAAATAAATTTTTAATTTAGAATTTATAGAATTTTTTTATTAAATATATATTTTACATTAATAAACATTTAAGAAAAACATTTATTATAACAAATAAAAATCTAGTTTTATGAAATTTAGTATTATTATTATTAATTTTATTTTAATAAACTTATCAATCAAGATTGTTTTTTGTTATAATAATTCTAAGTATATTTTTAATAAAATTTTTTATTAAGTTAACTTACAAATAAATTTTATAATTTTTAGAAAACTTTATTTTTATTTATTTGTAGTAAATGGTAGATAAATATAATTTATTAATTAAATAAATTTTTGTTTTGTTTTAACGTTATACTGTATACAAAGTTTAAACATGCTAACTCAATCATATTTAAAAAATATATATTTATTATAATTATTTTATTTATTTATTTATTAAAAAAAAGTATTGTTAAAATTAATGTATAATTTATTAAATTA